TGTTGCTAAAGGGGTCAATCGCAACATTTTAATAAGTGAATGTTGCTATTGGGTTAATATAATTGACTTTTGGCAACATTTGATAAAGGAATGTTGCTAATGTCACATTTCGCAACATTTGGTGTATGTTGCGAAAAGTTTATCCTTTTGCAACGTTTATTAGACGTTGCAAAAGTTTATCCTTTTGCAACGTTTAATAAACGTTGCCAAAGTTGATCTTTTGCAACGTTTATTAAACGTTGCAAAAAGATAAAATTTTTGCAACGTCTTTATTTTGCAACGTTTAAGAAATGTTGCGAAAGATCAACTTTTTGCAACGTTTATTAAACGTTGCGAAAGGTAACATTAGCAACATTGATTAAACGTTGCAAAAAGTAAGGAGGATTAGGCGTGCTGGATTGGGCTGGATCTTGGGCTGATTATTTCCTAAAAACATTAGGCCCAATAACGAAAGTCTAATTCACTTACCCAATTCCATAAACCGACAGCAGGAACCCTTCTCCCAATTCTTCATTTCCAATTTCGTCTCCTTCTCTGTCTCAGACTCCGACTTCGACTCCTGCTCTGACGAAGTGGAGCCTTTTCCCAATTCGTCAGTCCCAATTAGAAGCTGAAGCATTCGACTCCGATTTCTACTTCGTCAAAGTGAACACTTTTCCCAATTTCTCATTTCCAATTAGAAGCTAAAGCACGCGATTGCGACTGCGACTCTAACATCGACTTCGACTCCGACTTCGACTCCGACTCGGACTCTGACTCCGACTCCCATCTGTAGCAGAATTAAGGTTTGTTTCTCTCTATCTGCTTTCCCTAATTACCGCAAGCACTTCATTATCAATCTTTGTTCTCGGGCTTGCTGAAGGAATTTGACTCTGTAGAAGGTTTTGGATATGAAATCATCGCAAGCACTTCACTAGATATGGATATTTGTTTATGAGTAATATCAATCTTAGTCGAGAATGCACACATTGATATGGATATTTGTTTATGAGTAATATCAGGGTCATGGATGCTGTCATTGGTTAAAATTTTGTGTACTTACTGAGATGTCTATATAATTTTATATCGACCACAAGAATCTAAAGAACAAGTTCCCTGGGCTACTTCGATTTTTTCTTCTATGAACTATAGTTTGTGAAGATAATTGGTTATTTCCGATGCAGCATCATCAAGATTCTCACCATCAAAAAGCTAATCATGGCATGTTCAATACCTTTAGCTAATTATGGCATGTTCATTAGTTGGATCAGCCTACTTCACTTATCTTGGCCCATCTTATGTTAGCCTTAATCTTACATATACCCATTTGCTTGTTTGAGATAAACTTTGTGTTTGCAATTGAGATTGAAGGCATACACTTTTATACTCCTTTTCTTGGTAAAATGATGACCCTAAACTGCTCCCTTTCTTCTTCTTCTTCTTCTTCTTCTTCTTCTTTATATGTGATATTGCAGCCACCATTCTCCCTTTGTGGATTATACAATTGGACAACCATAGTGAATATTTGGTGGTTGAGCAATCGATTATTGAGGTGTTTGATATTGATTTGAGAAATCGAGCCCGTTCTTGCACACAATAAAAAATCTTGGTATATATTTCCTTCAAAATTTACATGTTTATATTATTTATAGTTGTTGAATCAATAAATACGCACAACGAAGCTTATTATCTTCTTGTAGGGTATAAATAATGCGAAGGGAGAACCAAGTGTAAAAGACTCGCACAAAGTAGGCAAGTGACTCTTCCATCCAGGTTGACTAGAAGCTGTTAATAAGGCATGTAAGCCAATGATTAAACATAACACTCACTACACCAAAATACACCATTTACAACACATAAAAGGCAACATACGGTAGTTAAGTGTTGCTTAAGGGGTCAATCGCAATATTTTAATAAGTGAATGTTGGTCTAATTTTAAGCATCAAATGTTGGTTAAAGCATCATTATGGTGACCAACACAAGGATAGTGTCCTTCGATTTTTTTATGCTGAGGGCACCAGATTGATGTCTTGTTAGGGAAGATTGAATTGCTTCCATGGTAGTTAAGATTGATTTCTTCTCTAGTGTTTATGCAGCTACTCAGTATGGA